TAGGTGCCTTTGTGATACTGCTCTTCAGCACATTTGTAAGTGAAATGTAGGCTTAATCCATAGTGTGTGATTTTCTATTCCTTTAGAATTTAGAAAAATAAACTTTTGAATACATAACAATAAATAAGTAGAAACTTAATAGGTCTCAAATAAGTCTAGGCATTTCTCCAAGTCTTTGAAATTTGATTCCTCTAAACCCATTTATACCTATAGTGTACAAATGTTTAAAATTCTTATCCAAAGAATTTTAGTTTCTCTGCAGATATAAGCAGTCCTTGGATCTTTATAACCAGGCAAATTAGGTCAGATGCTGTATTTGTCCTGTACTGGAAGAAATGCATAAATTCTGATCATCTGGCTAGCCCATCATGTTGCCTCAGACCAAAATTAAACCCAGAAGATTCAATATGACCTCTGGGGAAGATAAAGCATTGACATTTCGACAGTATCCCTGCCAGGCTGCTAAGCTTTATACACGTCATTTAGGAAAAGGCATTTACTTCCCACTGGAAGCTTTAATGCCAAAGAGCAATTCTAAACATACCTAAGTATAGATGGGGGTATCAGATACTAGAGGGGTAGCCCTAAAGAGAGAGAGAGTTTGACTTCTTTTAAAAGGAGGGCACTTCTCTCGTTCTGGGCAATGAAGAAAAAACAGGGACACGGAAGGAAAGGGAAGCAAAGAATGAATATGCAACCGGAGACCGCAGTTAGTTTTCAGCTGGGTCATACACACTCAGCAGTGGACAGGTGCTTACAAAGCCAAAGAAAAAGGATTATGGCAAAATCTGATAAGGTTTTTTTTTTTTTTAGACAGTGTCTTGCTCTGTTGCCCAGGATGAAGTGCAGTGGTGTGATCACAGCTCACTGCATCCTCAAACTCCAGGGCTCAAGTGATACTCTCACCTCAGCTTCCCAAGTATCTGGGACTACAAGCACATGCCACCGTGCATGGCTAATTTTTTTTTTTTTTTTGACAGAGTGTCACTCTTGCCAGGCTGAACTACAGTGGCACGATCTCAGGTCACTGCAACCTCTGCCTCCTGGGTTCAAGTGATTCTCCTGCCTCAGCCTCCCGAGTAGCTGGAACTACAGGTGCACACCACCAAGCCCAGCTGATTTTGTATTTTTAGTAGAAACTATGTTTCACCATGTTGGCCAGGATGGTCTCAATCTTTTGACCTCATGATCCGCCCACCTTAGCCTCCAAAAGTGATGGGATTGCAGGCATGAGCCACTGTGCCTGGCCAATTTTCTTATTTTTTGTAGAGATAGTAGTCTTGCTATGTTGCCAAGGCTGGTCTTGAACTCCTCATCTCAAGCCATCCTCCCACTTTGGCCAAAGTGCTGGGATTATAGGGATGAGCCACCATGCCTGGCCTGATTTTATTGGGTATGTACTAAAATAAGTCATTCTGAATTAACCCTACTCCAGGATGTTCACTCCTTTGCATTAGTTCTGTCCATGTTAAGTACTTATTTGTGATCATGTTTCTTTCCAAGTAGCTCCCCACCCTCCTAACTTACTATGTAAGCAGGAGGACTCAGGCTCTTCAGAAGCCCCTGTATCCATGAATATGCACATACACACACATACATGTATACACCACACACACTACTCCCAACTCCCTTCTCTCCAGACGTCATTCACAGATGAGTTGTGAGAAGAGCAGTATTCTTATATTGAAAAAAGTGAAAGCACTTAACCACAACATTGAATATAAATGCTGGGAATTATAGCTACACAAAGTAAATACAAAATTTAGCTTTGTTCAGCTTAGAAAAGAAGTCTCATCAACTTTCCTCCAGTGACATACACTGGATATTCAGGTCAAGAGTCCAGTGTGTCTTCGCCTAGAATTTCTTTTGCCTGGAAACCATAGTGGGTCCATTTTCTCTGTCTGTCTTCTCAATTCTGAGGCACTTAGGATGAGACACTTTCAGGAGAGCCTGGAAAGGGTCATTCAGATTGTACTGACACAATCAGCTATCATCTTTCTGGTTCTGCACTGGGCTGAGCCTCCTTTACCTTCTCTGTGCTGTCACCACCACTCTCAATAGAGATTTTCTGTCTTTCAGGTCCCAGCTCTTACTAAATTAATCTCATTAAAATTCCATCTCTCCAGTTATGCAAACCAAAACCCTGGCATCATCTGTTATGGATGACTATCATGTCCCACGATCCAACCTGTAACCCAGCAGCAAATCCTGTGGCCTGTCATTTCAAGATACATCTAGAACCCAACAACTTCTCTCACCCTCCATTGCTACCATCTTGGCCCACGCCATCATCCTTTGTTGTCTGGATTTTTGAAGTAGCCTCCTACGTGGTCTCCCTGCTTCTGTCTTTGCCTGCCTAGAGCTGATTTCCAGTAAACCGTGAGCGTGTCCTTTGTAAAAGCTCAGGGAGATCATTTGCTCCTCTGCTCAGTACCTTCCAATGGTCTTTCATCTCCCTGAAAGAAGTTAAAATCTCGAGAATGGCTATATGATCCTAAAGAGCTCACCTCCTTTTCCTATCTGACTCCATCAGGCACACCTTCCCCCCTTACTTTCTCTGCTCCAGCCAGGAAAAAAAAGTGGTTGCAACCCCTGGGGCTCCTCAAATACCACCAGGTATGCTTCCACCTCCAGGGCTCTCTCTCCCTGGAGCATTCCAGATGCCTTCTTTTACCTCCAAGTTTTGGTTTAAATGTCAGCTTCTCAATTTGGTCCTCCAAGCAAACATTTAATTCAAAAATATAAGCTCCTCCATCCTGGCATTCCTCATCCTCCTCCCCTGTTTCACTCTCCCCTATTGCATTTTGTCCTTCTAATACACTATGTATATATACTTGCTTAGTTTTCTCTCTCCCCATATTAGATGCGAACTCCACAAAGATGGGGATTTTGTCTGTTTCCTACACTATCCCCATTCGCTAGTGTAGTGCTTGATGTAGTAGTTGTACCACAATATTTGCTGAGCACATTAATTAAATGAAAATATCATACCCACACAAAGGCTAGCATGGTTAATGTTCACAGCAGCAGTATTCATAATAGCCAAAAACTGAAACAACCCAAATATCCATCAACTGGTGAACAGATAAACCTAATGTGGTATATTTATACAACAGAACACTGTTCAGCAATAAAAAGGAATCAAATACCGGTTCTTGCTGCAACCTGGATGAGCCTCTAAAACATTATGCAGCTGGGCACAGTGGCTCACACCTGCAATCCCAGCACTTTGAGAGGTCAAGGCAGGCAGATCCCATGAGCTGGAGACCAGCCTGGCCAGCATGGCAAAACCCCATCTCTACTAAAAATACAAAAATTAGCTGGGTGTGGTGGTGCACACATGTAATCCCAGCTAGTAGGGAGGCTGAGGCATGAGAATCACTTGAACCAGGGAGGTGGAGGTTGCAGTGAGCCAGGATTGCACCAGTACACTCCGGCCTGGGTGACAGAAGGAAACTCTATCTCCAAATTTAAAAAAAAAAATGCCAAGTTAAAAAAGCCAAAAAATTATATATTAAACAATTTCGTATGTGAAATGTCTAAAAAAGGCAGAAAATCCATAGAGGCAGAAAGCAGATTTGTGGTTGCCTGGAGCCGGGGGAAAGAGCAGGAGTGACTGAAAATGGGCATGAGGAAATTTTGGGGGATGATAGAAATGTTCTAAAACTGGATGTAATGTTGGTCACACAATTCTATAAGTTTATTATAGGTCATTGAATTGCACACTTAACAATGGTTGCATTTCATGATATATATAAAGTATACGTCAATAAATCTGTTTTTAAAAAGTTAATTTAAAAATTTGAAAGCCATTGTATTAGAAGGACTCTGTTAATGAGGCCAAGACCACAGGCTTAAAGCCTTGGGAGCCAATGAGATTACTTGGAGTCTATTTTCATTTCTTTCATTCAATACATAGGTATGTATGAATCTCTAATGTAGGCCCCAGAAGAGCAGACATGACCCTGCCCTCCTGGAGTTTATAATCTAATTAGAAGTTAAAATGCACAGAAATAGTTACAGACATGATATAGAATACCACATTAAGGACATGCTAGTAAAATCTGTGGTATTGGAGCAAAGATGGCTCTGAAGGGAAAAAACAGAAAGGAGAGCAGGATTTAAACAGAATCTTAAAAGAATGAGTAGGAGGAAAATAAGCAAGGTTGGACACTAAGGACTGTCTACAGGCTACCTCTTTATCCACCTTTCCCTCACATGTCACTGTCATAAGGGATGATGGAAAATACAGAACATATAGATGCATCACCAACTCAGGGATGTGTCCTACCAGCAGAATACCTGGCACAACATAGGTGCCTAGCCTGTGTCTAATGAATGAATAAAGGAATAAAAATGTAGGATGAGACAAGCAGCATTTCAGGTAGATTATGGATTAGCAGGAAGAGTTCACCACACACACACACACACACACACACACACACACACACACAGAGTAGCATCTGCAAAGTCACATCTTCCTTCAGGAGAAGAAGACAGAGTCAGTGCCCAAATGTACCTGAACAATATCTCTGCTTCTCATTTTCCAGCATTTCAGAATCGCCAATAATTCACTCTTGACTCCTTGCAATGCTCCTGTACCCAGGTGTTTTTAATGCCAAGTTTAGTCCAAGAACTGTGGCCAGAAGTCCATTTCCTCCCAAGTCACTTGTGTTATCTTTATATGGGAAGGCAACACATCAGCATATTATTACACATATCTCCCTAGGTCCTTTATGTATATGTTTTTTCTTCTGACCTAAATAATAAGATTTCGATGGATAAGAACCATTATTTTTCTTCTATTGAATTATTCTTACAGAGTGGGAATGCTAAGTGATACATTTCCTTGTGAATAGAGTGAAATGTTTAATAAGTTCTCTGTAGATAAAAAGATGGATAGATGGATGTGAAAGATTGAACAAATGAAAAAATCCAGGAATGAATACATCCTTAGTTATGAACTAAATCCTTTGCTGTATATCCTGTGTCTATTGTAGAACAAGAAGCAAGCACAGGCATTAGCATTCGAAGAGTCAGAGATGGAGTTTGGGTCCAATAAACAGTGTCATCTGAGACAACTCCAGCAACTGAAGAAAAAATTGCTGGCCCTTCAGCAAGAACTGGAGTTTCGCACAGAGGAGTTGCAGACTTCTTACTGTTCTCTCCTGCAGTATCAGTCCATCCTAGAGAAGCAGACATCCGACCTGGTTCTTCTGCACCATCACTGCAAACTGAAAGAAGATGAGGTATAGACAGATTAACCATGGAAATACCCCGCATTCTCAGGTACCCGCAGAAATCAGACCAAGCCCACTAGAAAGCAGACGCTGGACTTAGGAGGGCTTTGCAACTTCTCAAGCAGGTTTTATAAACTTTCCTTCTTTAATTCTTGATCTTTTTGAAGCTGAGCAGAAGGAAACTAAACTGAATGGCATAACTGGGTGAAGGCTACAGTATTCATGCATGTGGAATATGTGGAGTGTGTATGCAGGCGTGTGTGTGTGTGTGTGTGTGTTTGTGTAAGTCCATCTTCTCCATCCAACTTAAATGCAAAAGACTGTAGGTCTCTGAGGGTTACAAAAGAGGTATAAGGTACATTAAATCCACCATTTTTAGAAAAATAAGGTCTTGATAACATAAATTCCTGGCACCTACACAGTAGATAAAATAACCAGATGTTGAATGCAGCTCAATCATTGACAGTACTAGATAATATTTTCAGACTGAGGTTTTAGATCATATAGACTTCACTTAAGTATATTTAGGGCATTAATTGCCTTCCATGTTCCAGGGTGGTATTTTCTAAGCCAAAGAGTAGCATCCCTGTAGAATCCCAAATAAATTCCAAGGACCCAAAGCTGCAGCACTAAAACCACTTGAGCAGTGCAATAAACCATGGGTTCTAAGTGATGGGACAGGCACACTCTTTCATCCTGGGGTTTCCTTGGCATTTTCTTTCTTTAGATTTAAAGATAAAATTGCAAGGAGTTAGGTTTCTCTTGGAAGGACAGAGAAGGAAAAAAAATTCAAGGAGTGTTTCGGATGGTGCTGTTGCTTAAGGACTAACTTCAAGGACTTCAGGAGGGACCTTAAAGACCATCAACTTTTTAAAAAGGAAATATGATCTAGTGAAAATTTGCTGAAAAGAACTGAGAGTGGGAGGAACAGAGAAAGGTTGTCCTAATTCTACAAATATAATCTGTGACTAAACCTGTGAGCACAAACATGGTTTTTTAAAAAGATAGCGCAGAGGTGTGTTAAAACTTACTGGTTCACGACAACTGAAACAAAAGGTCCAGCCTGGATGAGTTGGGATTCTATTTAGCTGCATGTAACAGGAAATAAATAAGATACTTTATTTCTATGTCATATGTAAAAAGGTCAGAGACAGGTGGTCTGTTGCTGTCATGGCAACTGCATGTGTCATCAGATACCTAAGGATCTATCCTTGGGTTCCACCATCATCAGCTCAAGGCTTCCATTCTCCAAGTCTCCTGAGGTGCCTGCTGGACCTCCAACCATCACATCCTTTCTTTTGAGACAAAGTCTCACTCTGTTGCCCAGGCTGGGGTATAGTGGCGCAACCTTGGCTCACTGCAACCTCTGCCTCCCGAGTTCAAGTGATTCTGCCATCTCAGCCTCCTGAGTAACTGGGATTACAGGCACACGCCAGCGCACCAGGCTAATTTTTGTATTTTTAGTAGAGATGGGGTTTTACCATGTTGGCCAGGGTGGTCTTCAACACCTGACCTTGGGTGATCTGCCCATCTCAACCTCCCAAATCATGCCTGGGGTTACAGGCGTGAGCCACCATGCCCAGCCACATCCTTGTTCCAAATAATCCAGATAAATGGCCAGGGGACCAGGTGACAAGGGTGGAAGGGAAAGACACATTCCCCTCCTTTTAAGGACACTTTCCAGAAGCCACAAACACCTTCATTTAACTATTGCTGACCAGAATTAGTCACATGGCAACAGCTACTTTCTAGGAAGCATAAGAAATGTGGTGTTTTAGGAGGTGCATTGCTGCCCCCAGTAAAGTCAAGGTTCTATTACTAAGGAAGAGTAGGAGAGTAAATATGGGACTTTGCAAATAACAGTCAGTTAAGATCCCAAACCGGGAAAGCATTGAGAAAATCACTTTAGCATTCTGCCAAGTTCCCCCAGTGTCTCACACAGCCTCATCAAACTTCTCTCTAAGGTTGGGTTCACTACGCAGCAGACTCTAAGACAAGGATATAAATACAAGTAACTAATTCCGGAGATGGTTCCTGGAAGCACATGAGCAAGTGAGTCAAAGAACAGGGAGCACATAAAGGACATCAGTATTGAGCAGACTGCTTGCTCAGTCCCTCTGGAGAACTCTTAGAGATAGCGTAGAACATGCCTCAGAGTGAACCCACCAACACACCCCAGTCATTGGTTGAGGGCTTCTCCTGAGGGCATTAACTCCCAAGTCCTTCTAATCTACCCTGTCTTGCCTCTCTGACTGTAAGCGCTCCTGTGGTCAGAGAAGCCCTCCGGCAGAGTTGAATAAGCTTGCAGTGGGAATGGGGTTAGCTTGCAAATAAATAGCAAGCGCCCAGGGGATATGGGCTGGCCACTGACAGCTTCAGTTACAATATTTGGATATAAAATATTCCTCTCCTATTCTTCTTACATAGTGGACACCTTACACGAAATTATCCTTTCCTAAGAAGAATCTCAAATGACAAGCAGCAATTATAATTAGCTTCAACTAATGGAACGTGTTCTATCAGCATTCTATGTTGGATTATTTGAACTAATATGAAGCCTTCCTTAATGACTCTTCTGCTGTTAACTCCTTCAACACATAAAATTCAAGTCATGCAATTTAGCACACTCAACTACCTGCAACTGTTTACTCATTTTAAATCTTATCTCCCCAAGATTGTGAAAGTTTTAAATTCTTTGAGGGGTGAGCATATGTCTAATATATGTATATATCACCTCTGTACTTAACACAATGCTCATGAGCTTTCAATAAATATGTCAGTTGGTTGACTACTTGCTGAGGAATAAAAGAAATCTAAATAAGGACTGTGCAAATCCCAGAGGAACTTTGGGTCATGGTCCCTACCTGTCTCTTGGAAACTTGGTTGGCATGGTCCTGTGTGCAGGAGGAAGTCTCCATTTTCTAAATTTGAAATTTGACCTCTAGAGAATGCCTGGGAAAGAAAGAATACTGGCATTACAAGCCCTTAAAAAAAAATGGAGCTATACAAATTCATCCCTATTAATCAACTAGCGAGTATCTATTGAACTCCTACCACATGCTGGGCAGGATGGGAAATAAATATGGTCCCTGCCTTGAAGGAGCTTACCTCTAACTATGGCCATCTTTTTTTATTTCTAGTCATTAACATCTTGATATATACTGTAGCTTTCAGATCTGTGCAGCCTCTCTTCTTTCTGTTCATCTGGTCTTCTGGTTTAGATACAAGACTTCTTTGCAGGGAGTCTTAAAACCACATCCTTTCCTCATTAGATGATTCCATGGGCTCAATATGGATTTATTCCTACACCTACAGGTGATTCTTTATGAGGAGGAAATGGGAAATCACAACAAGAGCACAGAGGAGAAGCTCCATTTGGCACAGGAGCAACTCGCCTTGGCCGGGGACAAGATTGCCTCCCTAGAAAGGAGCTTAAACCTCTACAGGGATAAATACCAGTCTTCCCTAAGCAACATCGAATTACTAGAATGCCAAGTGAAGATGTTGGAAGGGGAGCTCAGTGGGATCATCAGTCAGGTAGGACTTAAGCCATGCCATTCAGTCCAGGCAAGTGGACATGCTCCCAAGTGGTCCCCTCAGACAGTCCCAGCCTCCTCCACTGGAAACCCAAACCTTAACCCAGATACCACTTCCTGCCCTTGATTTTGTAGACCTCAGCTTTTGAACCTCCAGCTTTCACATCCCCTGAAAGATTGCTTCTTCACAATTTTGAGACTCTTTAATTAATACAAAGAGCCACCACTTCAAATAAGGCCAAAAGAGAATTACCAAATAAGCTCCAACCCGCAGTTCCCCATGGGGTTGGCCAAGCCTCTGTTGAGATTGCGTCACAGCTCATCTCCCTCTGCTCAACCCTGCTTCCTTCCTCTTCATTTCACATATGTTAATGCCAGCAGCTCTCCCTAACAAGGTCCAGTCTTTTCTTGGTTCTCATGGGGGCCCGGCAGGGGGCTCTACTAAACCACAGTACTCATGAAAACCACAATTTCAAGATCAAATCGGAGGAAAAAGCTATGAAATACGGGAAAAGAAGAGTCAAAACACCTGATTTGTTTCTCTTTTCTTTTAATTGCTGCTTTAATTACACAAGCAATACAATTATTATAGGCTCTCTAGACAGAAGTACAGAGATTAAATATGAAAGTCTGCCTTAAACCTCTTCCCCATCATTCTCCTCTTCTTAGGTAATCAATCACTTGAATCATGTGTTGAGAATCCGCTAGGGGCTTGTGCTATATACAGATACATATATAAATGGGCAGGAGGTTCTTTTTACCTAAGTGGTTATTTATCAATGTGGTTTTACAATTTACTTTTAAAATGCACTTTTTTTTTTTTTTTGGAGACAGGGTCTTGCTCTGTTGCCAAGGCTGGGGTGCAGTGGTGTGATCTTGGCTCACTGTGGCCTCCTCCTACCAGGTTCAAGTGATTCTCCCAACTCAGCCTCTAGAGTAGCTGAGACTACAGCTACACCACCATGCCCAGCTAATTTTTGGATTTTTAGTAGAGACAAGGTTTCGCTATGTTGGCCAAGTTGGTCTCGAACTGCTGACCTCATGTGATCCACCCACCTCAGCCTCCCAAAGTGCTGGGATTACAGGCATGAGCCACCGCGCCCAGCCTAAAATGCACATCTTAACAATTTAATTTACTTACTACCTTGTATTTGGTAGTATGGATGTACCACCTACTGACCTGTGTTTTCCTCTCTTTTACAAACAAGCTGTAATTAACTTCCTATTTCTGTTGGATAATTCTTGAAATGTGATTGCTGGACCAAAGAATATGCTTATTTTTATTGTTTGAAGATACTTCTAAGTTATATGCCAAAAAGGTTCTACCAGTTTACACTTTTACCAACAATAATTAAGAGAGTGTATTTTCCCACACCCATCCACACTACATGTTTTCATCCTTTTAAGGTTGTGCTAAACCCTGATGGGTAGGGGGAAAATGTTCACTGATTACAATTTTCATTTCCTTAGTTCTAATAGTTGCAGGTTGGGTTCCCCAAGAAGCCAATTCTAGGACACAGTAGTGTGCAGGACATTTCTGGGAGAACTCTTGGTATTAACACCTGTAAAAGGAAGGAGAGGAAACCAAGGTTGGGCAAAGGAAGAATCCAGGATGCAGTCTCAACAAAGGCCTCCGCCAACCCCACAGAACAACGGGCGGGATGAACCTTCAGAGCCTTGCTAAATGGAAGGGAAGGGAGCTGGCCTTTAAGCCTCCATGTTGATCAGTTATGGGATGTGCTTGGCCTTGGGCAAAGCAGTTTTCTTCAGCCCCTACAATCCCCCAGAAAGGCAGTAAGTCCTTCATTGCCAAAGGGGATCTGGAAGGCCCAGCAGTCTCCACCACACTAATGAAGTATTGAGCACTATTCAAAAGCATATTGGTCATATGGATTTCTGTTTTATGAATTCCTTGTTAACCCATTTTTTTACTGGATTGTTAGTCTTTTTTGTATTGGTTTATAGGAGCTTCTTAATATATTACAGGTAATAATGCTTCATTACATATGTTGCAAATATTTTCTCCCAGTCTGTAACTTTTCATTTTACTTTATTAACGGTATTTTTCATCATACAGAAGATTTTAATTCTTTATAAAGAAGAAGTTGAATCCATCACTCCTTCTTTATAAATTCTAGGTTTTATGTCTTGCTTAAAAAGGCCTTCATTACCCTCAAGATTGTAAAAGTTTATTGTATATTTTCTGTTAGCACTTTTATAATTTGCACTTTTATGTTTTTATCTTTAGTCCATCTGGAATATATATATTATATGTATAATGACATAAGTCTCTAATTTTATTATTTAAATGGATCTCCAATGGTCCCAAAACCATTTATTGAACATCCCAACCCTTCCACACGGATTCTTCTGCACCCAGGACCTTCTCTGCACTCTGTATTCTTTTTATCATTCTGCTAGTTTCTGCTCCAGTGTCAGAGTTTTCTAGTGACCATAACTGGTAGCTTGTTTTAATAGATCTTTTTAGGACAGGTCCTCCTTCACTCTTCTACACTTTCCATTTGTTTCTTGGCCATTTTTTAATTTCTTCTCTTAATGAAATTTAGATTTATGTTGACCAACTTTCAAATTATGTATTAATTTGGGGGAAATTAGCATGCCCTGTGGAACATGACATATTTCTACTTTTATGCAAGTTTTCTTGTGTCCTTCAGTAAGATTTTGTACTTTTCTCTGTAGATCTCACATATTTCTTGCTATGTTTATTCCTAGACATATTTCTGTGTTATTGGTTTTATAAATGGGATCTTTTATACATTTAATTTTACTAATTTTTTTTGAGACAAAGTCTCACTCTGTCGCCCAGTCTGGAGTGCAGTGAGGCAGTCTCTGCTGATTGCAACCTCTGTGTTTTGAGTTCAAGCGATTCTTCTGCCTCAGCCTTCCAAGTAGCTGGTACTACAGGCGCGTGTTACCACAGCCAGCTAATTTTTGTATTTTTGAAGAGGCAGGGTTTTGCCATGTTGGCCAGGCTGTACTTAAACTCTTAACCTAAAGTGATCTGCCTACCTCAGCCTCTCAAAGTGCTGGGATTACAGGTGTGAGCCACCATGCCCAGCTTAATTGTATTTTTTTTTAATCTTTTCAATGTGATTTATTTATGTTTAAGTAAAAGTAGCAAATGTTACATAAGTTATTTCCTTAAGAACATGTATTTTGTACAATCACATTGTGAACAAGCAAGACTTACGGAACGTTTCCTGGGTCCACAATACTGATCTTTGAAACTACTGTAGCATCCTCCTTTTCAAGTTTAAACATGACTTTGTGCACTGAAGAAGCATGGCTTCACATCGCAGAGTGGTCACATGTGACAATCTGACATCAAGCAAGAAGCTTTTGGATGAAGAATTTTCTATCTTTTGTTGAGTTACAAAACGGTATTTGTGTGTGTGTGATTATCAAACCCATATAATTTTCTTTTCAATTCACTTTTCTTCTGCTACAATGAAAATAAACTAGTTAAAACTAAGCAGTATAGCAATGTAATCGACCAACTATATATCAAGTTATAAATATAGGATGTTTTAGTTGATACTGATGGTTTATATTACACATCTGTATTTAACATAATTTGGGCAATACAAAGTTAAAACATATCTGGTAAATAAACAAACAAAAATATTTCCCTGAAAACTGATGCATTGTTTTAACAATCACCAGAATTTGGGTTTATTCTTCAGAAGTGTGGTGGAACTGTCTAATATTAAAATAAAAAATCTTGCTGTTGTCATTTTTTCATATTCCTGCTTTATGCATTTTTAGATAACAGACTAATCCTGCAATTTTATTGCTAAAACATTATTACTTGGTTAGACATGATTATCAGATTTTGGGCTGATTTTTTTGTTCTCATATTTGTCAACATTAATTATTTCACTGTTTACTGTTACAAACACATGCTTACGCTAAAGATCCAAAAACTATAATGGGAAGTTATTGGTAATAATAAATGTATGGGCTGATAATAAATCGTATGGGCTGAAGTTTTGGCTGCTATGATAAGACATCTGACTACATGGTTAAATTAACTGTATAGAGGGGTATTTGGGGATTGAGAAATGCTTATTTCCAAAGAAACCATATTGCATGCTTATTTGACTGGAAGAAATTCACTGATTTGATGCATCACTAGTTCTGAGGGTGGAATCTACATGCAGCTTCTTCAGCAAGCTTGTTGGTCCCTTAGGAGAGTTCAGCAATGTTACATATGTCTTACAGCCTGTCACCGCACATGTCTGTCTTTGCTCACTGCCAGGAATTTTGCAGATTCTCCAACAAAATCCAATGTTAGATTTAGAACTGAAGGTGCTTTGTTTCAGATACCCGTAATACCAAAAGGATCTATTTAATATCCTGAGAGTTAAGATTTTTGCTTAAATTTGGCTTCTTGGTACAGTTGTTTAGCTTCTGCCCTATCATTCTCCTTATTGAAACATCATCCGTATTGGGAAATAATTGTTTTGTTACTCCTATGATTTCTTGAACTTCATTCTGATTCATAGCTGCTTTTACAGCTTTGTCCCTTGAAGTAGAGGATTTTGCCCCTGTCAGGCTGTGAGTGGCCATGTATTCATTTGTGTAAAGTACTTGCATTAAATCATTAATAAACTTCTGAGGCTTGCTCTTATTACAACGGGCAATCTGCCATTTTTCAATCTGGAACTGTTTCTCATCAGTCTGATGCTCTTCCTCAGGCTTTAAGGAAACTGGTGAACTGGAATTCGAATTAGAATTACTACAGGTCGAGGCCAATGAATCTGGTGAGGAGTTGTTGGTTGCTCTCCAGAGGGTGGATGCAGATGTAGACATGGTTCCTCCACCCTTAAGCAGAGCCTCAGCCATGCCAACCAGTTCTTCAAACTCGGTGACTGCTTGTGGTAACACTTGAAGCATGACCAAAGACTGTCGAAGTCGGCTGTTTTCTTTCCGGGTATTTGTTAGTTTTTCTTTCAGGCTTTTTATTTTGGCGCACAATTCTTCCTTTGACAATTCTGCTAAAGGCTCCTCATCCTCACTGGAGCTTTCACCAGGCAGAAAGGCATTTCCTGAATATGGGTCTCTCTGTCCTTTATCCATGTCACTATTTCCGTTTTCTGAGTCCATTGTCTCTGTCCTTTTCCTCTTTCCTTTTCTAAAAGCTTGTGTATTGGTAATTTCATCTGTCTGCAAGATCTTCTGCATTTTCTCAATTAGTTATCAAAGGTTTTCTGATATCCTAGGAGTAGGGAATAACCATGTAGATGATGCTATTCTGGACGTAGCTCAAAAGTTAATGTTTTCCCCGGCTGCATCCTTCAAAGCCCCAACCTCCGGGCGGGGCGTAGGGAGGTGGGAGGTGGGGGTAGCACCTCCGGGAGGCTCCTGCCGGCGCCTCACGGTTTTCCCCTGGCTCCTTGGCGCCCCCTGACGAGGGCTTCGCAGCAATTTGGCCAAGGGAGGCTGCTTAGGGGGAAGCCCCGGGTGACCGGGAAGCGAGAGGCGCCCGGCCAGAGCACCCTCGGACGGCGCGGACTGGCGGGCGGCCCCGCGGGAGGGCGCTGGGCTCTCAGGCCCTGGCGCAGCCCGCGGCCGCCGCCGAAACCGCCGCAGCCATGTCTGCGCGCCCGCTTAATTGTATTAATTATTACTGATATATAGGAAAACTTCTCTCTTCTCCTGCCACCTTACTGAGCCCTTTCACCAGATTTTCACTTGACTGTCTTGGATTTTCTTAAATTGCTTTCCCTTTCAAAATTTACTCAACTTGTTTTCCAACTTATCACATTGACCAGCACCTCTAGAGCAATGTAGAATTGTGGCCTCTCTGCTTTGGTCCTCACTGTAAAGAAAGTATTTCTAGTATTTCACTATTAAGTATAATGCCTGTTCTTGGCTTCTTTTTAATAGCCTTTTTCAAATTGTAAGTATAACTGTTTATATTTAGCTTATCAAGAATTGTTATTAGGAATGAATGTTGAATTTTATCAGATGTTTTTATTAGCATCTATCCTTCAATGAAGCAGATTACATGAATAGATTTTCATATATTGAACAATTATGTTCCTGGAATAAATACCACTTGATCATAATATATTATTAATAATTTTAATATGTTTTACTACTTTTGTTAAAAGTTTATTTTTTGCATCCATTTTCAGAAACGAGGTTAGTTTGATGGCTTAAATTTTTGTACTTTCCTCGCCTATTGGTGCCTGGATTATGCCATTCTATATAATGAGTTGGAAAGATTTTTACGTTCTTTTAAATCTCTGGAACTGTTTATATTACATAGGAAATATCTATTTCTTTAATATTACAAATAAACCCAACTGTTTCTCATTACTGTGCTCGGCAGTCCCTTCATGTCTTCTGCATTCTTGGAGTTTTCCTTTTGCTGTAAATAATTCCTTCTTAATTCTTTCAGAAACAATTGTTGGTGGCAGAATTTCTCAATATTCCCATGTCTGAACAAGGTTTATTCTGTCATCATCCTTGAATGCTAGTTTGGCTGGATATACAAACTTTCAATAGCACCTTCCCTTAAGTCTTCGAAAATACTGCCGCATTTCCTTGTACCACCCAGTATTAAAGATGCATTATTAGATGTCAATGTATTTCTCATTTTTTGTAGATTACCTGTTTTTTGAACACTGGAGGTTTTTAGGCTCAGGGTGTTTTAGTTTATTTCTTTTTTTTTTTTTTTTTTTTTTTTGAGACGGAGTTTCGCTCTTGTTACCCAGGCTGGAGTGCAATGGCGCGATCTCTGCTCACCGCAACCTCCGCCTCCTGGGTTCAGGCAATTCTCCTGCCTCAGCCTCCTGAGTAGCTGGGATTATAGGCACGCATCACCATGCCCAGCTAATTTTTTGTATTTTTAGTAGAGACGGGGTTTCACCATGTTGACCAGGTTGGTCTCGATCTCTCGACCTCGTGATCCACCCGCCTCGGCCTCCCAAAGTGCTGAGATTACAGGCTTGAGCCACCGCGCCTGGCCTAGTTTATTTCTTAAGCCACTCAACACTTCATTAACCCTTTTAGTCTGAAGATCTACATTTTTCTTCACTTCGGAGAATCTTTCTCCTATTCCTTTTAAATTAATTTTCATTTTTCATCCTATAGTATTAAGAACATATTGAAACCTGTAGATATCGTCTTCCTTGTTAGCTTCGCTGTTATGTTTTCCAGTCATTTGCCTAAACAGACTCTGCATTATCTACATGAATGTTATTTACAGTCCATTTTAGATTTCCGCCTGGTCTTCCTGCAGCTTGCTCATGGGAGGCTTCCATGCTTAGTGAACATGAACTACTCCTAACTTTGCCTGAAAAAGCCCAGTTAGGGAGACAAGTTTAATGGGGAAAGGATCTACCATCCAAACCAGAATGCTTTGCTCTTTTTTTTTTTCACCATGTATGTCAAATTTACCCCTTTATGAATGCAAACCAATAAGAGGGCAGCAGCAGTCATGCATGATTGCAAATGATCTAGGGAAAGACGTTTAAAACAAACAAACAAACATGGTTCTAGGAAAACAGCCATACTCATGTTGGTGACAGTGTTCAGTGGTACAATTTATTTGAAGGACAATAGTACAATATCCAAGTTTAAATATGATCTGGCAGTCCTACTGCTATGAATTTAATGGACACAATTACCAGAATAAATACTCAAAGATTTATATGCAGAAGCATTCCTTTCAGCTTTGTTTCAAAAAAAAAATATGGAAACAACCTATATTCTCATCTATAGGAAACCAGATCAACACATTTAAAAGCAATTTAAAAGAACAAGATAGTAACACATGTGCTACCATTGACAAATCTCTAACACATCTTGATGAGTAAACAAATTTTTTTATGTTTTAAAAAGCCAACATAATTTATATTGTACAGATTCATTTATATTATGTAAATATAGTAAAAAGTTCTAGAGAAATATGCACAGACTGTCATCTCTGGAAAGTAGAGAGAGAATGAAATTAGAAGTGATGGTCAAAGAAAAATTCAAATTTACCTGTAGTGTTACAATGTTTTAGAGATACAATATAAATATAGTTACTTGTGTAATTTGAAATTCACTTTAAAAGAGGAGTAAGACAGATCAACAAGTAACAATATGAAAACTATCATAAATAAATTGTCAAGTGAAAACACAATGTTTAAATACTATACGAAAGACTCATTTGTTGGCCGAGTATGGTGGCTCTTGCCTGTAATCCCAGCACTTTGAAAGGCTGAAGCAGGTGAATCACCTGAGCTTAGGAGTTTGAGACCAGCCTGGCCAACATGGTGAAACCCTGTCTCTAGTAAAAATACAAAAAATTAGCGAGCCATGGTGGTGCATGCCTGTAATTCCAGCTACTTGAGAGGCTGAGGCAGGGGATCACTTGAATCCAGAAGGTGGATGTTGCAATGAGCCAAGATAGCGCCACTGCGCTCCAGCCTGGACGACAGAGTGAGGCTGTCTCAGAAAAAAAAAAAAAAAAGACTCATTTGTAAGAAAAAAGTGAGAGTTATATGCATATCCATATATGCATATATAAATATGCATAAAATATTTCAGAATGATATCCAAAAAGCTGGTAACATGGATTGTCATCAAGAAGGGGACCTGAGTCATAGTTAGGATGTAGGAAGACTTACCTTTCAATGTCTACTCTTGTGAACCATTTGGACTTTTTACCATGTATATGCACTAGTTAGTATTTTTTCTTTTGTTAAGGAAACCATGATTTCCATATATGAACATAGACCTTTACAGTGTAGGTCTAGAGATTTTCCATGCTCATGGAATTCTGAAATAACTCACAAACTATAAACAAAACCAACCCATTAATTTTTAAATCTCCCAGGACCCTGAGAACAAGGGTGATCATTCAGAGGTGCGGATATACACTTCTCCTTGCATGATTCAAGAGCATCAGGAGACCCTGAAACGACTGTCTGAAGTCTGGCAAAAAGTCTCTGAACAGGATGATCTCATTCAAGAACTTCGAAATAAGCTGGCCTGCAGTAATGCTTTGGTAAGTGCCTTCTTCTAGAACATGTCTCTGAGAGACCCACAATCAAGACGTGGGGGAAAAAAGGAGGGATGAAGAGTCACCTAAATTAATCTTTTTCACCAAGAATCCTCAAATGCGTTATATGTTCTTACCCCACCTTTGTCCATATTCTCCGTGATATGCATCTCCCCACCCACATAGTTTGAGATAAAGAATCTTAAAATCTCTCACACAATAACCTAAATGCCCATCAGTGGGGAAATGATTAAAGAGATTAAGAGAAATAATTAAAGAGATACTCCTATTGTGGAATAATATGCAGCCAGTAAAAAGGACTAAGCACATCTGTAAGAGCTGCATGGAAGTAGGTTTGTGACTTATTGTCGAGAATAAGTTGCAGAGTCCCATCTATCATTCAGTCCTACTTTTGTTTTATCTCTGATCATAATGCTAATATATAAGTACAAACTAAATTTTCAATACTGTCCTTTCCCTTAGTGGAAGTGGGAGAGGGGAGAATAAGTGAAGAGGGGGTTTCACTTTTCCATGCTTGGGTTTTGTTTGAATTATTTTCAACAGATTCAAAAAAGCACAAAATTAAAACTAAAATTTCATGTTTTTTAATTTTTGGGAAAAAAAAAGTATACACACAGTCACATACTCCATAAGGAAAAATTTAGTTTATTTCTTATTTCTTCTTTAATTCTCAAACTTTGTATCCTGTCCTCTGGATAGATTAGGTACAGCTCTTCATCACAGCCCCTGAAGAACCTTCTTCTGCCTCATCAAATGGACCACACAGAGGTTTAGGGGAAAGTGCAAGTGTGGGCATTGATGAACTTGAGACAAATCACATATGCCTTAGAGAACCTTGATTTAAGATGGGGAGCTTAATTCCTTCTCCCTACCTACCCCACAGGGAGTGCCTGATGAATTATATAATTCTACAACAAACTTATGCTGCAGAAACACTCTGAAATAATAGTCATGGTAACAAGCATGTTCCACTGATCATCCAGCATAACTGACCTAAGCTTATTTGCAGGTTCTGGAGCGTGAAGAGGCTTTGATAAAACTACAGGCAGACTTTGCTTCCTATACAGCCACACACAGATACCCTCCTAGCTCCTCAGAAGAGTGTGAAGACATCAAAAAGGTGGGAGAAATTTGCTGATGTGTGCCTACTGGGATCGGGCTGAGCGGGGTTTTGATTCTGGAGTTTCCTACTTATTTTTTATTTTTATTTGATAGTTTATATTTTATTTTATAAATAAAATATACACTGTTATAAAATATATACTGTTATATATTAAAAATAAAATATATACTGTTATATATAAAAATATATAGTTATATATATTTTATTTATAAAATATTTTATTTTGTAAATAAAATATATAAAATTATACTGTGTATAATATGTGCCAAACCCCAAAGACAGGCAGCATTCAATTTTGGAATTGCACCTATCTCTTCTAACAGTGCACTTAAGCAACACAATACTTCTGTTGCCTTGCTAGATTCAAAAGGACCATCTAGCCTCCCAGTTTCTGGCTAGAGTTGAAAAGTAGCTAATTTAGAAAAGATTATTAATCCAAATTCATTCCCTCTGCTTTATTTATTTTTTTTTTTTTTGAGAACTTGCTGTTTGCAAAATTCAAAGCAGTATCAAAAGTTGATTCTAGTAAGAAATAAGCAGTTAAACCATGTAAGCAAATAGCAAGAATTGATCGGCCAGGTGTGGTGGCTCATGCCAGTAACCCTAGCACTTTGGGAATCCGAGGCCAGCAGATCACTTGAGGTCAGGAGTTCGAGACCCACCTGGCCAACATAGAGAAATCCCACCTCTACTAAAAATACAAAAATTAGCCAGGTGTGGTGGCACATGCCTGTAGTCCCAGCTACTAGGGAGGCCGAGGCAGGAGAATCATTTGAACCCAGGAGGTCGAGGTTGCAGGGTTATGAGATCATGCCACTGCACTCAAGCCTAGGCCACAGAGTGAGACTCCATCTCAAAAAAAAATGGATGAACCAGGAGTTAAAACACAGCCAGGTGTTCTCCTAGGTGAGATCCTGATAAGTCAGTCCTGAATGAACTTGCTACCTGGCAAAGCCAGCCACAGGAGGCCACACTGGGCAGGTGCTGGCATGCCTGCATGCACCAAGACTGATACCAAAATGGGGGCAAAGCGGGATGGCAGAGGGAGTAAACAACACGTCAGCTTCCCCAAGGGCTTCTCTAGTGGGGGAGGAGGAGACTCTCCTCTTTCCAGGACTTTTCAATCCCAGGAAGTTGGATGAACAAGGGATCAATATTGAACTTTGTAGTTCTTCCTTGGACATCTGTCAATATTTATTTTAAAGATCAGTTTCATGTTATTCACATCCTGACCTAGAGCAAAAAAATTTCATAAGACTCCATTTTTTTTTTAAATGAAACAAACTTCCCCAAGAAGCAGAATGCACCTTCCCCTGCTGTGTTATATTTCCTTTCCAAAGCCCCCATGCTCCCTGGGGCACCATCAGGAAAGAGAGCCACACGTCAGCTTTTTCCAGCAGGCCTCTCCTCCCCTCGGCCAGTATGGCACAGTGTGGGGCTTCAAATCCCTGCAGTGCCCACTCCTGGGTCCTGCAGTGGCTGTGTTGAATCTCTCTAGCTGTCACCTCCTGGCATCATGCTGTTGCTCTCCCTCCTGGCAGCTCTGAAATCACACAAATAACTCTCCCCAACATCCCTGATGCCCAAGCAATGAATTGCTCCTCCTCAGTCACGTGTTCCTGCCTTTTCTTGGTGAGGAAGGCATTCCCCTCTCCTTCATAGTAGAAGCCAAAGGACTTACAGAATGACCCCAAACCCCACGTGATGTGACCACCTAGCTCCTCACCTCATCTCCTACTCTCCCCATCGCCTGCTCCGTGCCAGCTGCACTTACCTCTTCCATGTTCCCTCCATAGACTGTGTTCCTGGCTAGTCTCCCTGCCTGAAAGCTCACCTCCAGCAAGTCTCAGCTCAGAGGCCACCTTCACAGGGAGGCCAGCTTATGCTCCTACTTAAAATTCCAACATGCGCCTCCCCCACCCATGCCCCTCCATTCCCCTTAGCTCTTCTGTTTCCCCCATAGTACTTTACAACTGTTAATATTTTCTATAAGTCACTTCTTATCATGCTCTTCATCTCACCCACAAGGTCAGCTCCATGGGGACAAGGATTTGTCTATGTCCTTTGCTCCACATTATTTACTTGGAAAATATTAATAGACCCATGCCTAACACCGAGGACAGTGCTGGGCACACAATAGATACTCCATAAACAACTGTATATCTCAGGGAGGAAGGGATGGTACTTTTATGCATATTCCATGTGAGCCTGAGAAGTCTACAATATCCTTTTGTTTTAGTCCGTTTTTCAAAAAAAATTTTGAGATACAATGGACAAAGTATAAAATTCACCATTGGTTTTTAGTATATTCACAAGGTTGGGCAATCATCACCACTACCTAATTCCAGAACATTTGTGTCACCCCAGAAGAAGCCCTATGCCCATTAGCAGTCACTCATCCCGTGGCCCCCAGCAACCATTACTCTACTACTATGCCCTACCGACTGTTGTGTGTGGACACTGGGCATTTTAGAAAGCATTCTCCATTCTCCCCCACCTCCTCATCCTGCCCTGTTCTTTGGTCTGCTAGATCCTGAAGCACTTGCAGGAGCAGAAAGACAGCCAGTGCCTGAACGTGGAGGAGTACCAGAACCTGGTGAAGGACCTGCGCATGGAACTAGAGACCGTGTCAGAACAGAAGAAAAACATCATGAAAGGTAAACCAGGGCTGCTGGCTGTAGTGGCAAGAGAGCCATAAGGAAGCCCAGCCCTCCCCTGAGCATAGCACTCTGTCCCGCCCGGTGGTAGACATGATGAAGCTGGAACTGGACCTGCATGGGCTAAGGGAGGAGACATCTGCCCACATCGAGAGGAAGGATAAGGACCTCGCCGTCCTGCAGTGCCGCCTGCAGGAGCTGCAGCTGCAGTTCGCCGAGACCCAAAAGCTCGCTTTGAAGAAAGACAAGGTAAAGTGAGGAACTCTAGTTGGAGGCAGCTGTGAGGCCATGCCCTGGCAAGAATCAGTTCTGCCTTCACCCGTAGTGATTGCTTCGGGAGCCTTAACACAAGCAAAATGAGACAGTGGGCTCTTTAGGCCCAGGCGCAATTCTCAGCATTGTTTTGGTATTTCTCATCACACGTAATAAATGAATCTAATTACACAGGGACCATAACAGAGGCACTGACTTTTCCCAAGCCCTGCAAGGTAGCAAGAGCATTTGGGACACACTTACTTACATTGTTCCCTTATACTATTTTTATGCTTGATGGTAGAAGGAAATGATATAACAGGTAGCCTTATTGAGAATTTCAAGTGAATTTCACTTTTTGAAATTACAAACATCTGGCTGGGCCTGGTGGCTTATGCCTGTAATTCCAGCACTTTAGGAGGCCGAGGTGGGGAGATCTCTTGAGCCCAGGAGTTTGAGACTAGCCTGGGCAACATGATGAAACCCTGTCTCTACAAAAAATACAAAGTACCTGAGTGTGGTGGCATACGCCTGTAGTCCCAGTTACTTGGGAGGCTGAAGCCAGAGGATCACTTGAGCCCCGGAGGTGGAGGCTGCAGTGAGTCGTGATCATGCTGTGCACTTCAGCCCGGACACTAGAATAAGACCCTGTCTCAAAAAACAAAAACAAACCCTGTCTCAAAAAACACAAAACAAAAAATTACAAATATCTTATGAATATGTAAATAGGCAGTTTGACAATATTAATGGAGCTGTGCCCTAAAAGAACTGTTGCTGCCAACATAAATCAAGTTCCTGGAAAAGTCTAGAAATGGAACCAAGAAGAGAAAGCACGTGAAACCAATGCAAACTTTTTTTTTTTTTTTTTGAGACGGAGTTTCGCTCTTGTTACCCAGGCTGGAGTGCAATGGCGCAATCTTGGCTCACCGCAACCTCCGCCTCCTGGGTTTAGGCGATTCCCCTGCCTCAACCTCCTGAGTAGCTGGGATTACAGGCACGCGCCACCATGCCCAGCTAATTTTTGTATTTTTAGTAGAGACGGGGTTTCACCATGTTGACCAGGATGGTCTTGATCTCTTGACCTCGTGATCCACCCGCCTCGGTCTCCCAAAGTGCTGGGATTACAGGCTTGAGCCACTGTGCCCGGCCCCAGTGCAAACTTTTATAATCAGCACTATTCCGACTCTGAACTTCTGTCAGAGCTATTAAAAATAATCCAGTTGAGGGCTGGGTGCGGTGGCTCACGCTTTTAATCCCAGCATTTTGGGAGGCTGAGGCGGGTGGATCCCTTGAGGTCAGGAGTTAGAGACCAGCCTGACCAACATGGTGAAACCCCATCTCTACTAAAAAAAAAAAAAAAATTACAAAATTAGCCGGGCATGGTGGTGCACACCTATAATACCAGCTACTTGGGAGGCTGAGGGGCTTCCTCAAGCCATTGAAGCCAGGAGGGGAGGTTGCAGTGAGCTGAGATTGCCCTACTGCCCTCCAGCCTGGGTAACAGGAGCAAAACTCAGTCTCAAATAAAGAGAAGAATAATCCAGTTGATAGACTGGCTGGTCATGAAAACCTCCTGTGTCAAGGCACAGAGGAGATATGCCCATCAAAACAGAGGCATTTGGAGAGACGATGACAAAGCACGGAGTCTGGGTAAAGAGCCTCGAGTCATTCGTATATTCACTCCACAAATATTTTTGAGCCCTAAGATATGCCAAGCACTGTTCTCAATGCTAAGAATATGTAAAATCTGCAACATCCCTCCTCTTATGGAGCTTACACTCCTGTGGGGGGAGATAGCCAGTAAACAAAATTAATACATAATACTGACATATCCATGTCAGACACTGATAAATCCCTCAAACAGCTTGGTGGGTGTTTTACACAGGATGGTCAGAGAAGTCCTTTCTGATAAGGTGACATTCGGGCAGAGATTTGAAGGAAGTGAGGGAGCCACCCAGGCAGAGGTCTTCAGGAAGAAAATTCCAAGCAGAGGGAACAGCAAGTGCAAAGGTCCTAAGGTGGAGTCTGCTTGGGCTGTTCCAGGAGATAAGTGGAAGCAGAGAGGGGTGGGGGTGGCAAGGGGTGAGGTCAGACAGGTAGCCTAGGACCAGACCGTGGGGTGATTGTAAGGACTTCCTCCTTTTTCTAAGAGATGGAAGCCAGTGGAGGATTTTGAGCTGAGGCAAAAGATCTGCTTTGCACTTTTAAGACCCCCCTCTCTAGCTGGATGCAGTGGCTCATGTCTGTGATCTCAGAACTTTGAGAAGCCAAGGAAGGAGGATCACTTGAGCTCAGGAGACTGAGACCAGCCTGGGCAACATGGTGAGACCCCATCTCTGCAAAAAATTTTTAAACTAGCTGAGTGTGGTGGCACACGCCTGTAGTCCCAGCTACTCAGGATGTTAGCAGTGGTAGTTATCCATATGGTCTGTAGCAACCTCAAATCTTGCCTCCTCAGCAGAAAGAATTTGACTGAGGGGCATTAGGCAGAAGGAGAGACTGAGGCACGTTTTAGAGCAGGAAGGAGTGAACGTATTTTAAAAGCCTTAGAGTGGTAATGAAAGGAAGGAAAGTACACTAGAAGAGGGTGAAGCCGGTGGCTTGAGAGACCAAGTGTGCCATTTGACCCCTTGACTTGGGGTTTTATAACATGGCCTACTTCTGGGGTCCTGCATTACTTCTCACCACTCTCCCAACTCCTGAGATCTTACCAGGAATCCGCTGATCCTAGTGTCAGATGTTTTCTATCTATTCATAGACAGCCTGTCCCTGGCACCAGCTGTGACCAATTATTACTTTAGCGAGACAGTTAACCTCCTGACCATCACCTGATGATCGCCTGACAACCCTGGTGTATGTCGCAGGGGAGCCCTCTCCTGCCCTGCTCACACCTGACTAGCCACCTGCTGTAACAGGGAGGCTGAGGTGGGAGAATCGCTTGAGTCCAGGAGGTCATGGTTGCATTGAGCTACTATCGTACCACTGCACTCCAGCCTGAGCAACAGAGTGAGACCCTGCCTCAAAAACTAAAATTAAACTCAACTAAAAAGGCTGGGCACGGTGGCTCACACCTGTAATCTCAACACTTTGGGAGGCCGAGGCAGGTGGATCACTTGAAGTTGGGAAATCGAGACCAGCCTGGCCAACATGGTGAGGTCCCATCTCTACTATAAAATACAAATATTAGCTGGGCGTGGTGGCAGACACCTGTCATCCCAACTACTTGGGAGGCTTGAGAATCACTTGAACCTGGGAGGTTGCAGTGAGCCAAGATCGTGCCACTGCACTCCAGCCTGGGTGAGCGAGAGAGACTCCATCTCAAAAATAATAATAAAGACTCCCTCTCTCGACTAGGTGGAGAATAGCTTGAGGAGAACAGGAGGGAAGGCAGGGAGATTCGTGTAACGTCCAGGCAGGGGATGCTGCTGGCTTGGATGAGGGCTTGAGACAACCTCTCACTGCCTTCACCCACTGCCGCTCAGACCTATCTCAGCATTTGCACTTTGCTCTCTTCAGTTACTCCAAGAGAAAGATGAAATGCTGTGTGAGCTGGAGAAGAAACTGGCACAGGTTCAGAACTGCCTCCTGAAAAAGGAAAAGGAGCTGGAGAAGCAGCAGTGCATGACCACAGAACTTGAAATGACCGTCAAGGAGGCTAAGCAGGACAAATCCAAGGAGGTGGAGTGCGAGGCCCTGCAGACAGAGGTCCAGAAGCTGAAGAACAGTCTTGAAGAGGCCAAGCAGCAGCAGAGGCTGGCTGGTGAGGCCCCCACAGGTGCTGTCCCTACCACATTTTTCTTGGGGCTAGAACAGCCACCTTCTCTCTCCCAGTGGCCATTTCCCCTCCCCCCCCTCCAATGAGTCACTGCAGACCTTCTCAGGGCCTCATCCAGTACCTCACAGCAGTGGCCACTGCCCTCTTGAATTCCTTCACCCACTCCCAAATTCACCTGCTCTCTGGAGTCACCCCGTCTCCCCCACCATTCTCCCAGCAGTCTGCCTGAAGACCCTGCCTTCCTGGCCACGGGAAGGCAGGGCTCTGTCCTTTACACCACATTCCTCTCCAGCTTCTCCAGGCTCTCATCACACAATTCACTTCTCCTTCCCTAGCTTTTTATTCCCTTTCTCCTTCTTGTCCCCAAATACATTCTATGCGGCATGCACTGTGGATGATGTCCTTGTCCCTCCACAGAGCCTGGTCTTGCTTTGGGTACAGGGTTTCTCTGAAACAATGAAAATGTTCTGGAATTAGATATTGGTGATGGTTGCATGACTTTTTGAACATAAAAAAAAAAACACACACACTAAATTGTACACTTTAAAAGGATAAATTTGCCAGGCATGGTGGCTCACACCTATAATCTCAGCACTTTGGGAGGCGGAGGTGGGCAGATTACTTGAGCCGAGGAGTTCAAGACCAGCCTGGGCAACATGGCAAAACTTCATCTCTACAAAACATACAAAAATTAGCCAGGCATGGTGACGTGCACCTGTAGTCCCAGCTACTTGCTAGGCTAAGGTGGGAGGATCACTTGAGCCTAAGAAGTCAAGGTTACAGTGAGCTGAGATCATACCAGTGCACTCCAGACTGGGCAATAGAGTGAGACTCTGTCCCATAAAAAGGAAGAGGGGGAGGCTAAATTTATGTTATATGAATTACTTATCAATTTATAAGATAAGATCGAAGCCTGGCTTTCTTCCTCACCTTCCTTTAGTGCTGTGTTCCTTGATGCTGTTGGCTACTCACACCTCAAAGCTTGTTTCTCGGCTTTGGAGACATCGTTCTCCCACAAACCTCCCCACTGTTTTCTTTTCTCTCCTGCTCTGATTGTGGTCATCCAGAGACTCTCCTTCCTCTCTTACTCATTCTTCAGTGAGCTCCCTCCTCTGTGTAGCTCCCTTTCTCTATAGGTAACTCCAAAACTTGGAGCCTCAGCGCTGACTTTGTAGCTGCCTTCCCCTCTTACCCAGTGGAGGTAAAGGTGTGGACTTGAAGGATATTGCTGGAAGTTTTTTTCCATTCTAATGCATTCCAATTTTCCTGAAGCACTTTTTTTTTATGACAGATTCCTGCTGAAGAACCCACTAAACCACATCTAAGCATTTCTCTTAGGCTTTCAGAGCCCTCCACTTACTCAACTCTATCATGCACCGTTCCTCCCCACTTCCCTTTCCAGGCAAACTGGTGTCTTCTGCCCTCCCACACACCTTCCCCATTCCCCTCACCAGGCATCTGCTCTAACAATCCCCACTCCGGGAATTCCCTTCCTCCTCCTTCTTCTACATCTCAGCTTCTCTTCTTCTGCTCATCCATCTCCAAGCTTTCTAAGCCACGTTGATCTCTCTTCTGAGGCCAGTAGGTGCAAGTGTAACATGACAGTGTTCTCTAGGACGGTGGGTCAGCAAGCCTCCCTCAGCAGTCTCTAAACTCCAGGAGTGTCAGGATTTGTCCCTAATGGCAGGATGAGTCACACAGGAGGTACTGAGAAATTTCTACCAATTTGTTTAATTTTAGTCCAGAAGGTGTCCACAGCTGAGGAGTAGACAAAGATAATTTAACAGAGCTCTTCAGGACTGATTGTGAAATGGAGAGAAATGAGGACAGACTGGGAACTGAAGCAGGGCACCAAATGAAAGGAAAAACTGTTCAGCTAGGCTGATAGGAGTGTGATCTTCATACACCCTCCCGTCTCACATGGCCATCTCCCGGCTTCCATAGCTCAGCAAGCAGCCCAGTGCAAAGAAGCAATGGTGCTGGCAGGCAGTAACCTGGAGGACGCCCAGAGGAAACTGCAGAACTCCCTCCTCCTGGACAAGCAGAAGGCAGACACCATCCAGGAACTACAGCGAGAACTTCAGAAGCTGCAGAAGGAGTCCTTGATGGCTGAGAAGGAACAAACCTCCAACAGGTGCCAGGCTCACCTCCAGAGAGAGGTTCTGTCCCTCTTGAGCAGCTGCCCAGGAGTTGGAGAATAAGGACTTCCCATGGGGTCAGCTCCACAGTCTGCCCACATGGGCACTAAAGTCTGTCCTCCTGTGGCTGTTACTTTGCTTTAGAAAACGGGTGGAGGAGTTGTCATCAGAACTCTCTGAAGCCCTGAGGAAGCTCGAAAATTCAGAGAAGGAAAAGAGGCAGCTTCAGAAGACAGTGGATGAGCAGGATATGAAAATAAATGACATGCTTGATCGTATCAAGCTCATTCAGCACCAGGTATGACGGGCAGGTAGATGGACCATTCAAGCACTTGCTCTGCTTAATAAAACATGGGCCAGGAGCAGTGGCTTATGCCTGTAATCCCACCTCTTTGGGAGACCAAGGCAGGCAGATCACTTGAGCCCAGGGATTCCATACCAGCCTGGGCAATATAGCAAGACTCTGCCTTACCAAAAAAATACAAACGTGATCAGGGCATAATGGTACATGCCTGTAGTCCCAGCTACTTGAAAGGCTGAGGTAGGAGGATCCCTTGAGACTGGGAGAATGAGGCTTCAGTGAGCTATGATTGCACAACTGCACTACAGCCTAGATGAAAGAGTGAGACCCTGTCTCAAAGAAAAAGTCCAGGCATGATGGCTCACACCTTTAATCCTAGCACTTTGGGAGGCCAAGGCGGGTGGATCACCTGAGGTCAGGAATTTGAGACCAGCCTGGCCAACATGGTGAAACCCCGTCTCTACTTAAAAAAACAAACAAACAAACAAACAAAATTAGCCAGATGTGTTGGCATGTGCCTGTAATCGCAGCTACTCTGCAGGTGGAGGCAGGAGAAGCTCTTGAACTTGGGAGGCAGGAGATCGCACCATTGCCCTCCAGCCTGGGCAACAAGAGCGAAACTCCATCCCAGAAAAAAAGAAAAAGATTAAATATATCAGTCGTTACCTGGGAAAACACCACCACCACCAATCCTTGCAAACTAATTGTCCAGAACTGTGTTAGCATGCTAATCCAGCCACTCAGCACCAGCTCCCTTTGCAAGAAGCATCTTCAAGGGTTAATCTTAAAATTAATCAAACAACAATTTGTTCTGTGTAGGATTCAAAGGCTATTTTTATCAGTCAATTTATTTGTTTTTTAAATAGTGCCCAGCAGCAGGAGATATTGTCAGTTTAAAGCCTTTGATCTCTGAATTACTCTTTTGTGTTCTTCTAAGATTTTTTAAACTTTATTCAAAAAAGTTTTTGATGAAGATTTGGAATCTTCCAAATCTTTGGCAAGAATTGGTGAGAAAGTGGAAGAGAAAGCCGATGCTTAGGAATTGGATCAATAAATAAGTTGGCATGTTACTGAACAAAGAAAAATGTTACAGATATTAGAGGAAACATTTTATTTTACATATGCTATATAACTAAGGAATTGTCTTCTTATTCATTTCAGCCATGCCCTGTGTGCAATTGTCTGGCTTTTTACCCCAAATACAATATTGTCTAAGACAGTCTTTCAGCTCAGTCTTTATTTCTTCAGCAAAGGGAGCAAGTCTCCACTCAATGCAAGTTAGAAGATGATCTTCAGGAGGCCACAAAGCTACTGGAGGAGAAACGGGAGCAGTTGAAGAAGAGCAAAGACCATGAGAAGCTGATGGAGGAAGAACTTGAAGCTTTGCGGCAGGAATTTAAAAAGAAAGACAAGACGGTGAGTGGGAGAATCCCAGGAGAGCTGGGTCAGAAATCAGAGCAGGATAAGAACCCAGCTGGGCCTAGAGGGATGCGGAGGCCCTGGACGCTCAGATGTCAAGAAAGACGACAGGGAGCGTGGGGAAGGCCAGCGCCAAGGGGAGCCAGAGGCCTGAGCTCCCACAGGTGGAGATAGAGCTGGGGGAAGGCCTGAGCTCCCACAGGTGGAGACAAAGGTTGGAGAAAGCCTGAGTTCCTGCAGTTGAAGACAGAGCTGGAGGAGAGGGAGGGTGGAGTGGGGCTTTTATAGGTATCTGATATTAACACCTCTTGGCTGTGCTTTATTCTTTAATGAGGGAATAGTTGAAAGAGAATTCCAGAAAGTTGGAGGAAGAAAATGAGAATCTTCGAGCAGAACTACAGTGTTGTTCTACACAACTGGAATCCTCTCTTAACAAATACAACACCAGCCAGCAAGTCATCCAAGACTTGAATAAAGAGGTAAGCACACAGGAACCCCAAGGAGTAAGGAACTTGAACCCTGTGACCCTTGACCTGAAATCTGTACCCACCTCTCCTCCACACAGAAATGCCACTAACTGCTCAGCCAACTGTGGATCTCAGGCCACCTGTAGCTCCCCTTCCCTCCCCGTTGGCACCTGGTTGCTGAGCCAGAGAAATGTTTCTTCCATATGGAGAAGATCTCATCTCATATCTGGTGGAGCCCCCAAGCTATTTGGGCTTTGGCATCAAGTCTTCCAATATTACATTTTAGACCAGAGTTGAGTGAATCCATTTGGGGGAACAATTTGCTAGACAACACTTCCAAAACTTGTCACAAAGCACAAAAAGGGGAAGAAAAGGGGGACAGTTATTTTTCATTACACAAGTAAAAATGACAGAAAGGAGTAAATAGCATCTGACATATGCTAGGCAATACGCTTGAATTCAGTCATTATTTATTTATTGTCCACTTAAGCTCTTTATATGGCTTCCACCTACTTTACTGCCAACAAGAGAGATGAGGAAAGAAAGATGGAGGGCTGGCCAGGCACAGTGGCTCATGCCTGTAATCCCAGCGCTTTGGGAGGTCAAGGCAGGTGGATCACAAGGTCAGGAAATCGAGACCATCCTGGCTAACATGGTGAAACCCTGTCTCTACTAAAAATACAAAAAATTAGCTGGGCTTGGGGGTGCACGCTTGTAGTCCCAACTACTTGGGAGGCTGAGGCAGAATTGCTTGAACCTGGGAGGTAGACATTGCAGTGAGCCGAGATCACGCCATTGCACTCCAGCCCGGTGACAGAGCGAGACTCCATCTCAAAAAAAAAAAAAAAAAAAAAAAAAAGATGGAGGGTCAAAGTCACTCACCAGCAAGTGATGGGATGAACCACTATTTGAACCGGAATTATCCAGCTCTAACGCCTATCCCCTTTCTCCTTCATCATAAGCAGCCATACTTTCTCCAGCTAAATCCATTCCATCTTTCTGGGCATGAGAAAAATATAACACCTTGGTAGATGGTCTCTCGGGCTAAAAATGAAAGGCCAAGCAGCCTTTATTCCTTCATAATATAAAAATGAATCTTAAAATAGTTGACTTTTCTAAGTATGAAATTAGCACTGCCCAGTAGAACTTGCTGCCTTTCTGTGATGATGGAAAAGTTGTATGTCTGAGTTGCCAGTGCTAGCCTTTAGCCACATGTGGCCATTGAGTGACTAGAATATGGCCTAGTATAACTGAGGAACTGAATTTGTAATGGTAATTAATGTTAATTATTGTTACATTTATTTAAATGTAAATAGCCTCATGTGGCTAGTAGCTACTATATTATACAGCACAGGCCTGAGGCACTGATGTTCTTGCAGTTGTCCTCCAGAGATAATAATCTCTCCTTGAGTGTGATCCAGAGTTGAAGTCTGAGTCACTCAGATCCCTAAGGAACCTCCATGAACATATGTGATACTCAGATTCCTACGTGTTTAGTATGGACATATTGTCGTATTTGCCAAAAGAAAGATAACCAAGTAAATGTGAAAGTAAAAGCACTAATTTCAGAATACCTTTAATGAGAATCAGGAAGCTGATTTGTGTGTGTGTATAAGCATGTTCAGCTTTTAAAAAGCATACCCTGGCCAGGCATGGTGGCTGACACCTGTAATCCCAGCACTTTGGGAGGCCAAGGTGGGCAGATCATGAGGTCAGGAGTTCAAGACTAGCCTGGCCAGCATGGTGAAACCCCACCTCTACTAAAAATACAAAAGTAAGCTGGGCTTGGTGGCGGATGCCTGTAATCCCAGCTATTCAGGAGGCTGAGGCAGGAAAATCACTTGAACTCAGGAGGCAGAGGTTGCAGTGAGCTGAGATCATGCCATTGCACTCCAGCCTAGGTGACAGAGCAAGACTCCATCTCAAAAAAAAAGCATACCCCACATATGGAAAACTTAATTAATTGAAACAGCCACTAGAAAGAAGCTTTGGTTTTTTTTTCTAGAACGAACTTCATTTCATTAATATTCCATTTTTAAATTTTAAATTTTTCCGTCTGAAGCCAAGGCAATATATCTTGAGGTCCTTTCCATCTCTTTGTTTCAAGAATATTTCCACAGTATTTTATGAATTAATTACTGTCAATAATAGGAAAGTTCATTTATTTTTTACATATTCATTCTGTATTTGAACATCTTATTGAACTCACTTATAAGTTGTAATTGTTTTTTAGTTACTTCTCATGGATTTTTTAAGTAGATGATTATATTATTTGCAAGCAACAACAGTTTTCTAATATTTCCTTGCAATAGTTAAATTTATATAATTTTTCTTGCCTATTGAATTGGACAGTACCTACAGTTTGATGTTCAACAGCAGCAGTATTAGCAGGCATTGTTTTCTGGCATTTAACTTAAAGGAATGCCTCTGTTTTAGTATGATGTTCCCTGTAGCCTTCTTGTTGCTGTCCTTTAGCAGGCTTTTTAAATTCCACATTACTAAGAGTTTTATTAATATGAATGTTGAATTTTATCAAATGCTTTAAAAAAGATAAAAGATGATTCTATCATCCTTATCTTTAACCCATTTCCCATGTAGAAAAAAAAAAAAGTACAGCTCACTGCCAGTGCAGTATTCTTGGGGCAAATGGAAAATGAATTAAATAATGTGGTGAATAAAACAGATGAAGTAATTGATCCCAATTTTGGCCTACTCTTACATTCCTAGTATGAGTCTTGATTGTGCATCATGTCTCAGTCTTTTAATATAACTAGCTCAGCACAGTCTAAGAAGTGAAATAAGGTCAGTATGATTGGAATGCATTGATCAAGGGAGACATTGGTATAGAATGAGATTAGAAAGGAAACAGGGACAGACATTATGGCCGCTGTTAAGAAATTTGGGGTTTTATTCTAAAAGCATCAGAAAGCCATTGATGGATTTCCTCAAAGGGACAGGGGAGATGATTTGATCTAAGTTTTCATAACATAACTTTGACTACTCTGTGGAAATGGATTGGAGGGAGTGATAAGTGTGGAAGTGAGGAGACCATTTAGAAAGTTATTGCTGTCCAGGCTAGAGGGGTATCAGGGAAGAAGGAAGGGAGCAAATTTAGGATGTGTTTTGGAGGTCTAGCTAGAATTACCCCAGTGTAGCTGATGGAATGAATGTGAGAGAAAGTGAGGAATCAAAGATGACTTCATGAAATTCACCTATAAAACCATCTAGACCTAATACCATTGACAGCAGAGAGAATAGGTCTTTTACTAGAACTTCGACTAGAATGTCTTGATTCTGTACTTTACATGTCTATATGTAGATTTTTAGAATCTTTCTCCAAGCTAAACCACTCATGTTAACAAAAATTTTTTTTTAATCTTCTATTTTAGCTTCTAGCTTCACCGTGATTTTTTTTCCACTATCCTCTGTTTTAGTGTCTCACCTCTATAGTGACATTTCTCAGTTCAGCCATCACTTATCAAGCACTGATAGTAAATTATAGTTTCTCCAATGATTCCTCTAGTTTACTGGGCATACCCTGCTGACTCCATGTTTTTCAGAAGTCCCCAGAAAAGATGTACTTCTGTTTTCAGAAGACCAAATTATTTCATCTTTAGGAATAGTTTCACTACCAGGACATGTAAAATATAGTGTCACAAGTCCAGTCTACCACTTTTCATCTTACTAATTCCCAGGGCCAAAGGTACTCAAAATTTTATCTGAAAAAGTAATAAACTTGAAGCACTGAGCAGTTATTGGAGATAAAACAAGAAAAATCCAAAAGAGTGTGTTTCTGTGTGCATGGCCACTTTCAGATGCAGGTGTGCTAGAATACCAAAGAGTACAAGTCAGGCATATGAATTTCTGAGGTCCCCTTTGGCTTCCAGACTCAGAAGCAGATATCTGTCCTGTACTTAAAGTATAGAAGAAGGCTAGTTGCTCTGTGTGTCTATGACAATAACTCACAGTTGTACAGTAAAACAAAGCCCTTTTTACATGTATCATCTCATTTGATCATCATAAAAATTCCATGAAACAGTTAAAATGATTCCAATTCGTGGAAGCAGAAAGTAAGGCCAGAGAAATAAGTACATGATAGAACCTGGACCTCAACCCAGATCTTTCTGACTCCAGATCTCAACTTCCTTTTCACTATACCATGAATACTCATTACCAAGGTGAAAACAGACTTCAGCTTTTAAACATGCTTCTACCAGAACTACATGTTTCTTAACATGTTGATCAGTTGATCCCTAACTCCAAAAAATGCAATATTTCACGCAGACAGAATAAAACCATTTTTGAGCATTTACTGAGCCTCTATCACGTCCCACACTCTGAGTTACAGCAATGGGGAAACAGCAGGAAGCAAAACACACACACAATCGTGCTTTCATGGCACATCAAGTCTAGTAAATCACATCACGAACTAAGTGAGGCATCAAACATGAAGGAAACGTTGTTATCATGTCCACTAACCCCGAACTGGATTCGGATCTTTATCAAAGGCTGCAGAGTATGTGAGAGACTTTCTGTGTACTTGACATATCATGCCCTCCCAGCACTGCTGGTTCTCCTGTTATTTGAGGGAAATGCAAACTAGAAAGGGAAATATGGCTAGGGGTGCAAAAGAGCCTGGAAAGACAGCTCTACCTTTTACAATGCTGAAGTGAAGATGTGGGTGTTAACACGGACTCTGCAGGTTGTTGCAGACAGGAGAGAGACTAGCTCTTGCTTATTTCCTGTAGGCACAGAGAATGCCTCTATGACCCTGAACTGCCACCCTGACAGTTCTGCTCTGTCTCCCTAAAGATATCCCTTCAGAAGGAGTCCTTAATGAGCCTGCAGGCCCAGCTGGACAAAGCTCTGCAGAAGGAGAAGCATTATCTCCAGACCACAATCACCAAAGAAGCCTATGACGCGTTATCCCAGAAGTCAGCGGCCTGCCAGGATGACCTGACACTAGCCCTTGAGAAGGTGAGGCCACACCCTTTAGTCTCCAGGGCTGTTTTCAGGTAGCTGGAGAGGCACAGGAGCCAATTTCCTACCTACTGACTGTCGTTGGGGCCATCTCAAACCCTTGCGTGGGCTGGGATGTCTGTCCAGAGAAGGTCTGCTTCCTCTTTGTGAGGTTTGGAGCGGGGTGAAGGGCAGAGGAAAAGGACAAAGATCAAGGCCAAATCTAGCAAGCTTTTCTGCCCATGAGTGACTCAGGTGCAAAGTTTTCCCAAAGTCTGGATTGTCAGGGAAATTCATGCCCGATTCTGTGCTGATCATGGCTGGCCTGTCAGTTCATGGTATTGGAAGGAGAAGAAATGGAGGGAGTGGGTAGGAAGGAGAAGGTGGGGTAGAGAAAACCAACCACCGTCATTTCCCACCCCTCTCTGGGATACTAGATAAGGTGACCATCTGTGTCACCCAGGGCAGAGAATAGGAAGGGACTAGAACCCTCCTCCATTCAGGACTCAGCAGAAAGGGCCAAAGGCTCTGACAGCCATCCATCCCCTTTGTCTTTCCCGGAAGCTCAATCATGTGACCTCGGAGACAAAGAGCCTGCAGCGAAGCTTGACACAGACCCAAGAGAAGAAAGCCCAGCTGGAGGAGGAAATCGTTGCTTATGAGGAAAGGATGAAAAAACTCAATATAGAATTAAAGAAATTGCAGGGCTTCCACCAGGAAAGTGAGCTAGAGGTGAGGAGCAGCCAGGGGCTTGGCCTGCCCTCCTGGTAGGGGTCCACAAGGTCACCTCTTGCATCCAGAATTATTTAGTACTAAGCCATTTCCTTGGGCTGATAGGTTCCCTCCATTCTCTTGGCTCCCTGAACTTCAGACAGAGGCGGCAAAGATCGGAGCATGGGTGCCCTCTGCTGGCCGCTGGGAAGAAAATACCCACAACATGTCTCTCAAGGCCCAGAAAGTACCCTCTGGCCTCGTTGTGGGTCCTGGGGACAGGGAGGCTGGCTGGGGTCCCCCTCCTCACTTGGCTCTCCCGAGCAGGTGCACGCCTTCGACAAGAAGCTAGAGGAGATGAGCTGCCAGGTGCTTCAGTGGCAGAAGCAACACCAGAATGACCTCAAGATGCTGGCAGCCAAAGAGGAGCAGCTCAGGGAGTTCCAGGAGGAGATGGCTGCCCTGAAAGAGAACCTCCTTGCAGATGAAAAGGAGGTGGGCATGCCTCAGCTTCTGAGCGCCTCCTCTCAGCACCTTCAGGCACATCCCATGACCACCCAGATGCCAGACAGACCTTGGTGGGGGTGGGGGAACCTGGGAGCAAAGGAAAGGACACCTCCTCCATATAGTGCAAAGCAAGGGCCACAGCTGCTGGCTCGACGCACCTGTGTTCTTGTGGTGGTGTTGATAGATACTGAGCAGAATGAAGGCCCCATTCTAGAGAAAAGACTGTCAGGTACACCAGCTATCCCTGACCTAGTCCACTGGGTGCCCTACCAGAGTACCTCCTGACACTTTCAGCAGCCCTGGACCCTACAGTAGAATTGGTTCAGTGACCTGGGCATGTCCCAGATCCAGCTCCTTAAGCAGTGAAGTTTATGGCAGGAGGCCTAAGGACATTTGGGTGACCACTGGGCCTTTGCTCAAATTAGAGGCATCTTAGGCCAGGGAGAATGGCTCACGACTGCAATCCCTACACTTTGGGAGGCCAAGGCAGGAGGATCACTTGAGTCCAGGAGTTTGAGACCAGCCTGGGCAATATAGCAAGACCTCATCTCTACAAAACGTTTAAACGTTAGCTGGGCATGGTGGCCTATGCCTGTGGTCCCAGCTACTCAGCAGGCTGAGGTGGGAGGATAGCTTGAGCCAGGGGGAGGTTAGGCTGCTGTGAGCTGTGATCACGCCACTGCACTCCAGCCTGAATGACAGAGCAAGACTGTCAAAAAAAAAAAAAAGATATATCTTCCTCCAGATGTTTTTCTTCCATCTGTTAGAAAATTGGCTTAGCATAAGGACAAGTCACTTTAATGCCTTCAGACTGAAAACCATGATTATAAGTGTACAAATCTACTGTGTCACTACCACAAATGGTGCCTTCTCAAATGTGTCACCTTTGTGTGACATGCCACCCACATAGCCAGAGGACGCCCTGGGTGGCAGTTCCAACTCTGGCCTCAGGTTGGATAGCAGGGTCAAGTTTTGTTTTCCGAGGAAGACAGAAGAGGCCTGACTCGGAAGGACGGGTGACAGGCCTGTGCTCCCACCCCTGACTGTCTCATTTTCTTCTTGTACCCAAGCCCTGCTGCTTGCCCCAGCGGTGTGTGCCCAAAGACACCTGTAGGCTCCACAGAGAGAATGATCAGATTATGACCAACCTGGAGCAATGGGCGAAACAGCAGAAGTGAGTACGGAACGAAAAAGGAAGGCAGAGTCTTGGACTGAGCTGAGGCCTGGACTGAGCTCAGGAGCCACACGGGTGCCAAAGCTTAGTCACACACACCCCTGCACTCCTGGAAAACAGATCCAGTCTCAGCCCACCAAGGGATGGGAATAAGATGGAGAGGAGGGCTCACCCCTTCAGGGAGGTCTGGAAAGCCCTGCTGACCAGGAAACAGCAGCGGCAAGAAGGCAGGAGTGCCTTGCTGAGGTTCAGATGTCCTCTTCCCGTCCTGGGATCCACCTTCACTGCCTGGCCCCCTTGAACTCATTCCCTTGAACTCACCTGGCAGTCACAGGGATTTTGCATAGGAGTTGAGTTCAGAAAATCTTCTGAATTGCCAGGTGCTAGGAAGGCCCCAGCTCTGGGCGCAGGGTGATATGAGGGGGGGCCTGGGATGCTGCAGCAGCAGTCTTGCTGAGAACACCAGCGTCCCATTCAGCCAGCTGTACCCTTACTCACAGGAGGCTGGGGGCTGGCCGCTCTTTTCTCCTGTGATCTTATTACAGGGTCGCCAATGAGAAACTAGGAAACAAGCTCCGAGAGCAGGTGAAATGCATCGCCAAGCTGACTGGTGAAAAGGAGTAAGTCATCCTACACCACCCTGGCTGCTTCCTGGAGCTGATGAGAAGGGTCAGCAGGGAGCCAGGGCTAGCTCTAGCCCTTGAGAGGGTGATCAGCCCAGGAAAGGCCTGGGTGCTCTGGAAAGAACCCAGACCTGAATCTGCATCTGTGTGACCTAGGGCACATCACTGAACCTCTCAGGGCCTTAGTTCCCTCACCAAAAATACAAAGGGGGTTTAGTCATCTTTTTGCTCCTTCCTGCTCTCATGGTTCTCAGAGGTCAGGGTGCTAAGCAGGGAAGGGGCACTGAAAGGCAGACTGGATTAGTTAGGGCAAGGGCTGAGTTGCTGTAACACAGATCCCAAGTGAAGTAACAAATAAGGAACGTCTCTTCATGAAATCATCAGGCGAGCAGGCCAGGTTGAAGGAGCCCTTCTGTTCCACCTGCTCATCTGGGGGATTGTGGTCTTGCTTCTCCTCATGGCCAAAGCTGGGTCCACTAAGAGGGAGGTATGGGAGGAGTGTTACCAGCTTGAGAATGAAGGTGAAGGTATGAAGGTCTAAAACAGATTTTGGAGGTAGCAAAGTAATAAGTAACAAGCCCTAGGACAGTGCTTCCCAACCTTTTCTCAGGGAACACTTAGAAAGCGACCATACCTTACATATTCACCATGGATACTATGCAGCCATCAAAAAGAATGAAATCGGCCACACGGTGGCTCACGCCTATAATCCCAGCACTTTGGTAGGCTGAGGCAGTGGATCACCTGAGGTCAGGATTTCGAGACCAGCCTGGCCAACATGGCAAAACCTTGTCTCTACTAAAAAAATACAAAAATTAGATAGGGGTTGTGGTGCACGCCTATAGTCCCAGCTACTTGGGAGGCTGAGGTGGGAGAATCACTTGAACCTGGGAAGCATAGGTTGCAGTGAGCCAAGATTGCCCATTGCACTCCAGCCTGGGTAGCAGAGGGAGAGTCAGTCTAAAAAAAAAAAAAAAAAAAAAAGAATGAAATCATGTTTACTGTGGGAACATGGATGGAACTAGAGGCTATTATCCTTAGCAAACTGACATAGGAATAGAAAACCAAGTACCACATGTTCTCACTTACAAGTGGGAGCTAAATGATGAAAACTTATGAACACAAAGAATGAAATAACACACACTGGGGCCTATCTGAGAGTGGAAGGTGGGAAGAGGGAGAGGATCCGAAAAGATAACTATTGAGTACTGGGCTTAATTCCTGGGTGATAAAATAATCTGTAAACTCCTGTAACATGAGTTTACCAATGTAACAAAACTTCACCTGTACCCTTGAACCTAAAATAAAAGTGAAAAAGAAAATGACCACAGTTTAGGATCATTTGAGGCCAAGAGTTTAAGACTAGCCTGGCATCATAGCAAGACTTCACCTCTACAAAACAATTTTAAATTAGCCTAGCCAGAAATCAAAACCCAATGAGGCATCAACTCACACCAGTTAGAATAGTGATCATTAAAAAGTCAGGAGATAACAGATGCTGGAAAGGATGTGGAGAAATAGGAACACTTTTACACTGTTGATAGGAGTGTAAATTAGTTCAACCATTGTGGAAGACAGTGTGGCAATTCCTCAAGGATCTAGAACTAGAAATACCATTTGACCCAGCAATCCCATTACGGGGTATATACCCAAAGGATTATAAATTATTCTATCATAAAGACACATGTACATGTGTTTATTGTGGCACTTCACAATAGCAAAGAGTTGGAACCAACCCAAATGCCCATCAGTGATAGACTTGATAAAGAAAATGTGACACATACACACCATGGGCTACTACACAGCCATAAAAAAAAAAAAAAGAGTTCGCATCCTTTGCAGGGACATCATCCGCAGCAAACTTAACACATGAACAGAAAACCAAACACTGCATCTTCTCACTCATAAGTGGGAGTTGAACAAAGAGAACACATGGACACAGGGAGGGGAACGTCACATACCAGGGCCTGTTAGGGGGTGGGGAGGTAGGGGAGGGATAGCATTAGGAGACATCCCTAATATAGATGATGGGTGATTGATGCAGCAAACCACCATGGCATGTGTGTACCTATGTAACCTGCACGTTCTGCACATGTACCCCAGAACTTAAAGTATAGTAAATTTTTTTAAAATTAGTCTCGCCTGACACGGTGGTGCACACTTATGGTCCCAGCTAATCAGGAGGCCGAGCCGAGAGGACTGCTTGAGCCCAACAGGTTGAGGCTGTAGTGACCTATGTTCACACCACTGTATTCTGGCCTGGTACTGAGACCCTGTCTCTAAAAATGAAGGATAAAAGTAACCACATTTGTTTGGCATATTTGTGACAAAGCTGACCAAGCAGTGGCTGTCCCAGACCCTGCCCCAACGGCTGCAGGCATCTCCGCACACCTGGAACCCATTTGTGGCACCCCAGGTGGAAAGCCCTAGTCTAGGCTTTGACCTTAGGTACACAGCTGAGTTGAAGAGAAGGATGAGACCCACCAAGGAATTGAGAAGCCAGGACTTGGATGAGCTGTACGGGGTATTAAACGCTTTGGGGAGGCTGACAGGAGGGACCAGAGAGCCAGGGAAGGAGGGCACTGCTGGGACTCCCTCACCAGACCCAGCGGCACAGGGAGTGAGGGGCCACCAGAAGGGGAATAGACATCCTCTTAGATATGCCTCATAGAGCATATGCATCCTCATAGAGCATATGCCCAGGGAAGAGGTTGAAGATGAATTCTCTACTTGGCTTCCTCTAGAAAAAACCGTGAAACCTTTTACTAGGGTATAACTAAAAGAAACGTGGTCAGACTCTAATGGTAACATATAACTTCAGTCCTTCTCTTCTATTGTGCCAAGTCCAGGAAGTTCTGTTTCACAGAGAACTCACTCTTGAGTTTTCTTGATCTTATCTGATAGAAAATCATCTTTTAATGATAATATTAGCTCAACTAATACATATCGTTTGCTATGTGTGAGGTACTAAGTGCTTTACACATACAAACTCATTCCATCTTCGTAAGACCTCCTGTGCTCAGTATACTCATGATCCCCATTTATGGATGAGGAAAGAGAGGGCCTGGGAAACTAAGTAACTTGTCCCTGGTCTCACAGCTAGTAAGTGGCAGAGTCACAATTCCAATGTGAGAAGTCTGGAGCTCACTCTCACCTCCTGCCCTCATCAGTTTGGAGACACACAACAGTGGTAATAAAAGCTGCCATTTATTGAGCCACAGGGAATGCACTAAATTATCTTTCCCCTTACCTACATGGCAGTCTCCATTTCCTCATCTGTAATAATGGGGATTAAGTAATTTGCCCAAGTTATTGACAGAGCTGGGATCTCCTTTGCTCCCGAATCTTCAGCAAAGGGAGGCAGAGAGAATGCGGGCTTTGGCACTGGTGCTGGGTGAGAGCGTTTCTGAGGTAGAGCCATGAGAACCTGAGGACACATGGTCACAGTTGTCCCTAACAGCCTTCTGGCTCTTCAAGTTAAATTTCTATCACTTATCAAACCAGATCCTCATATGAACCCCATCAGTCAGGCCAGGCCTGACTGTCCTCGTCTGACAGATAAGAAAACAAACCCAGAGCCGACAGAGTCAGGCAGGAGTACCAGCTCCTGGTCCACTCAGACCCCAGGCCTGCGCTTCTTTCACAGGACTCACGTAGGCCTCCATTTCTACAGAGCATGTGTAAGAGCACAGCTCTGAATAGACCTGGGTATCTGTGCTGTCTTCCCTGTGACACCTTTATTTGTCCTTTCTAGCAGGGAACCAAGCAGAGCCAGCAGCCCCAACACCCACCCGTCCTTCCTCTCCTTCCCACAGCCACCTCCACAATGTAATGGTCCACCTACAGCAGGAAAACAAGAAGCTGAAGAACGAGATAGAAGAGAAGACGAAAGCTGAGAACACGAGGCTCTGCACCAAAGCCCTAAGCCCGAGCAGAACGGAGTCCACACCGAGGGGGAAGGTGTGCGGCACCTTGGGCTGGAAGGGGTTGTCCCAGGACATGGGTCAAAGAATGGACCTCAGCAAGTACATTAGGATGCCCCACTGCCCAGGTATGTCTGCCATTTGTCAAAAATAAATGTGATTTTTTTCTTTAAATTGCTGGATGGAGAATTCAAGTAGGAAGAAGAAAATAGGTCTTTTGTGACCTCAAGTCATTTTCTTAGCTACTTGGGACCAAAGATGGTTGTTTTGATGTCTGTAGAGGGAGGAGGCAAATTAAGACCCCTTCTGATCTAAGATCATCTGATTATACCCAAGTCCCTCACATCTCAGACCTGTCCCCCGCCGACCCAGACCCATCTTGGGGAACCGGTAGAAGAGGCATCTCCCTTCTGTGTCTGGAAACCCCGTAAGAGCACCCCAGCTACCTACTCAGTGTGAGTCCACAGCCACCTTTCCTGCTACCCATAAACTCCATGTTATCCCAGAGGCAAGAAGTCACCCTGCAGCTGAGCTGCGTGGCCGTGCAGCCCGTCCTCAAGGAATCACCTCATTAATTTCTCCTCAAATCACAACTCTCATTTCCTCCCTGTTCCCTCAGGTTCCTCGTATTGCTAGAATCCGTGTCTAGCCCTGAGCCACATTTCCACGCGTGTTTCTTCAGAGGATAGTGAGTTCCCAGCCCTCTCTCTTGACCTGGATCAGCTCTTACAGGAATATATCAAGGTTCCAGCTATGTTGTAAGATGCTAACATTTTGTTGAGTTTAGGCTGCTTCCTGCAATGGAGTGAGCTTTAGAACCTTACTACCATCTCCAGGCCCAAACTCTGAAATAAAGACATGAGCATGAGCACAGCAGTTGTGGTGAGCTCTTGGCGTCTTGCAGATCTTTCTGCCCTGCAAGCCCCAGCAACGTGTTCTTTCTGTTTTCTCTGGATTCTAAGAGGTATTGGTCTCTTCCATATACAGGGAAGCCATAATCCCCAATGCAAACTTCTGGATTTGTTTTTAAACCAACAAAAGTGATAAGTAGCTCCTTTTCTTTATTTCCATCACTATCTGAAACTTAAAAAGAGAAAGTCTAAAATGTCCAAAAAGGCAGTAATCCTGAGACCCAAAAGAAAGGAAGAGCAGGCCAGGCGTGGTGGCTCACGCCAGTAATCCTACTTTGGGAGGCCGAGGTGGGCAGATCACCTGAGGTTGGGAGTTTGAAACCAGCCTGACCAACATGGAGAAACACCATCTCTACTGAAAATACCAAAAAATTACCCTGGCATGGTGGTACACATCTGTAATCCCAGCTACTCGGGAGGCTGAGGCAGCAGAATCACTTGAACTTGGGAGGCAGAGGTTGTGGTGAGGCAAGATCGTGCTATTGCACTGCAACCTGGGCAGCAAGAGCAAAACTCTGTCTCAAAAAAAAAAAAAAAAAAAAGAAAGAAAGAAAAGAAAAGAAAGGAAGAGCAATAAGGGCTTGTATTTTCCAAACGGGGGAGCAAGAGCACACCACCTGCTCCCCCGGTCTCCACATTCCCTTCCTCCTTCTAACAACTTTATTTGCCTCCCCAGCCACCTTAATGCAAGTGAAATTCCATTATGCCAAACTCCAAAGACAGCTAAACTACTTTATTCTGGTAGGATTTTGTTAAACTGAGTACATGTCTAGCATTTATATTTCTAGTCTGTAGGAAATGGAGAGAACTCACTACTAAGGTAATATTAATATAAGAGAAAGAAATGAAAGATCTTACACTTCTGAGGGAGCAGTAAAAGTGAAGGAAGAAACCCACTGGTTAGCAATGATTCTTAAATATTCTTCCTGGGCCTAATAAAGGCCTAGAAAATTCACTGCTAATAGCAACACTGACATGTTACATAGAATGCACCAGACAGAACTTGGGAAGGGCAGTTCCAGAAACGCAGTGTGAGCTAGGAGTGACGGGCATCTCTGGTAGTTTCTGTTATGATCGTTGTTGTCTGTCTAAGCTCTGTGATCTATGTTCCCCCATGTAGTTTAGAATATGGGTTTATTTTCTAGAGAAAACAAAGACTAAAAATTATAGTACGAATCTAGCCTGTGGCTTCTTTTATTCAAACAAAAGTTCAATGCCATTAAAATCTCCAGGCTAGTCTACCAAAAAGGCATCTTATCTCTATAATTTACAAAAATGTTTCATATGTGTTGGCCAAAATGACAATATCTGGTTTCTTTGAAGGTTGTACATTTTTCCAGAGTTACCTTTCACTTCCTGTGGAGTGATGACACCAGAGCAAAGCAGGTAGTCAGTTATGGAGAGCTAATTGGTAGCAGAGCCAGAAAAACATCGACATATTACCCAGCCATCTGACTTTGACAGCCCAGACAGACAGAAGGCCTGGCTAAATACAGGGATGGACTTAGAGAAGGGCAGTTTCTCTTAAAACAGGAGGGAAGGCAGGAAAACTGAGTATTGCCTGCCTATAATTTGTTAAGAAATAATCAAAGAATTGAGTTCCTAAAAAGTAGTTTGAACAGCTGATATTAAAAAGAAATGGTTACAACAATACTCTTTTATGATTTTTTTTTAAAAAGCACTCAACAAATGAGGATTAGAAGGAAACTACCTCAACAAAAGAAAACCACATATGAAAAACCCAGAACAAACATCATACTCAGTGATGCAAGACTAAAAGCTTTTCCTCTGAGATCAGAAGTAAGGCAAGAACATCTACTTTGCTGCTTCTATTCAGCATTGAACTGAAAGTTCAAGCCAGAGCAATTAGGCAAGAAAAAGAAAGAAAAAGGATTCAAATTGGAAAGGAAGAAGTAAAATTATGTCTGTTCACAGATCTTATATGTAAAAAACCGTAAAGACTCCACAAGTCAAAACACAAAAATGAGTTGCAGTTTTATATTCCAACAATTAATAATCTGAAAGGAAATTATAAAAATAATTTCAGCCAGGTGTAGTAGCTCACACCTGTAATCCCAGCAGTTTGGGAGACTGAGGCAGGCGGATCACGAGGTCAGGAGTTCAAGACCAGCCTGGGCAACATAGTGAAACCCCATCTCTACTAAAAATATAAACATTAGCCAGGCATGGTGGCACATGCCTGTAGTCCCAGCTACTGGGGAGACTGTGGCAGGAGAATCACTTGAACCTGGGAGTTCGAGTTTGCAGTGAGTCAAGATCGCGCCACTGCACTCCAGCTTGGGCAACAGAGTAAGACTTTGTCTCAAAATAATAATAATAATTTCATTTCATTTAAAATAGCATCAAAAATAACCAAATATCTGGGAATTAACCAAGGCAGTAAAAGACTTGTACGATGAAAACTGTGAAACATTACTGAGAAAAATTAAAGGAGATATAAACAGAAACACATCCCATGTTCATGGATTGAAAGACTTAATATTAAGACATCAGTACACACAAAGTGATCTACAGATTCAGTGTAATCTGTCAAAATCCCAATTATGTTTTTTTGTTTTTTTGTTGCAGAAATAAGAAAACGCAACCAAACCACATGGCATCTTAAGGGATCCCAATAACCAAAACAATCTGAAAAAAGAAGAACAAAGCTGAAGAACTTACTGATTTCAAAACTTACTACAAACCTACAGTAATCAAAATACTGTGGTGCTGCCATAGAAACCAAAAAACAGACATACAAACCAATGGAATAGAATAGAAAGAATCCCAGAAATAAACCCTCACATATATGGTCAAATAATTTTGACAAGGATGCTATCCTTGGGGAAAGGATAGTTTTTGTTTTTCTTTTTGTTCTCCAACAAATGATGTTGGGAAAACTTGGTATTTGCATGCAAAAGAATAAAGCCATGCCCTTACCTAATACCATATATAAAATTTAACTCAAAATGGATCAAAGACCTAAATGTAACCACTAAAACTACAAAACTCATAGAAGACCTAGAACAAACCCTTCATGACATTGGATTTGGCAGTGATTTCCTGGGTAAAACACCAAAGGCACAGGCACCAAAAGAAATAACAGACAAATTAGACTTCATGAACATTTTAAAATTTTGTGCATCAAAAGCAGTATCATCAGAGTAAAAAGGCAACCCACAAGAGAAAATATTTCCATCATATCTGTGATGTTAACATCCAGAATAGATAGCGAACTCCTAAAACTCAAGAAAACAACTCGGTTCTAAAATTGGCAGAGCATATGCTGAAGAATGAAACTGGACCCCTATCTTTCACCATATACAAAAATTAACTCCAGATGGATTAAAGATTTAAATGCAAGACTCAAACTATAGAAATCATTCTTGACATCAGCCCTGGCAAAGAATTTTTGGTTAACTCATCAAAAACAATTGGGCAAGAGGGACCTAATAAACTAAAGAGCTTCTACACAGCAAAAGTAACTGTCATCAGAGTAAACATACAACATACAATGGGAGAAAATAGTCACAAACTATGCAGCTGGCAAAGGCCTAATATCCAGAATCTATAAGGAACTTAAGCAAAATATATACAAGCAGCCAACAAGCATATGAAAAAATGCTCATCATCACTAACCATCAGAGAAATGCAAATCAAAACCACAATCAAATACTATCTCACACCAGTCAGAATGGCTATTACTAAAAAGTCAAAAAATAGCAGATGCTGGCAAGGCTGGCGAAAAAAGGCAAAATTACTGGTTGTGAGAATGTAAGTTAGTTCAGCCACAGTGAAAAAGTGTTTGAAGTTTTCTCAATTAACTTAAAACACGGATGCAGCTGGAGGCCATAATCCTAAACCAATTCATGCAGGAACAGAAAATCAAATACCACCTCTTCTCACTTACAAGTGGGAGCTAAACATTGAGCACACAGGAGCATAAATATAAGAACAGTAAATACTGTGGACTATTGGACAAGGGGAGTAGAGAAAAGGAAATGGGTTGAAAAAATACCTGTTGGATAGTGTGCTCACTAGCTGGCTGATGGGCTCCATACCATAACTGTTGGCCAGGCACGGTGGCTCATGCCTGTAATCCCAGCACTTTAGGATGTCGAGGTGGGCAGATCACAAGGTCAGGAGATCGAGATCATCCTGGCCAACGTGGTGAGACCCCGTCTCTACTAAAAATACAAAAAATTAGCTGGGCATGGTGGCGCGTGCCTGTAGTCCCAGCTACTTGGGAGGCTGAGGCAAGAGAATCACTTGAACCCGGGAGGCAGAGGTTGCAGTGAGCCAGATGTCACCACTGTACTCCAGCCTGGGTGACAGATTAAGACTCCATCTTAAAAAAAAAAAAAAAGCAATAATAATAACTGTTAACCGGAACCTCAATCTGTTTCCTACTCTGTTGCCTGATTGTAAATAGGTCACACATCAGCCATCTTCTCCTAGTTTTCCAACCTAGGGCTAAGTTTAGAAGGCTTCCTAGGCAAACTGCTGGCAGCCCTGTCTCCACTATGGAGCCCTGAAAAGCCATTTCCACCTGCATTAAATTAGAAGGTTGGGTTGGACCCAAGGGGGCTAGAAATAAGGAGAATGCAGGCAGAGGTGGTAGCTGGTGCTGGCTGGCAAAGCTAGGCCTCCAAGCTTACCCACAAGATTGACTTACATTTTAACATTTATTGAGTTATGGAAATGCAAATCCCAGGAACACAGGTAGAAAAGGATCAGAACTAACAGCACAGCAGGCACACACTACAGGGCTGATGCTGGCACTGGCCTAGCACCAAGGTGCTTCTGAGCCCCAATCCTGCCTGTGACTCAACCCCAACACAGAACCTGCCAACCAGCACACCTGGCAGAAGCCTGGCCTAGAGGAATCACAAGATACAGACAGACCATGGTTGGTGCAAAGGACCAAACACCCAAAAAGCCACCTCAGCACTTAAGAGACTG